GATAAACACTCCCTCCCAGCTTGGAGTCATCTGCAAACTTAGGGTGCACTCAATCCCTTCATCAAGATCATTAATAAAGATGTAAGTCAGGAGCCTTTTCAGACTGCCTCTGCCTGTTTGGATTCATGGCTAGGTTGAGGAGAATGCCAAACATCCTGGCTCGTAAATCAAAACATGTTATCAGTAGCACCAGAATAAATAACAGAATTCCAGGTGATAGTACAGTCCTGAACTTTTTAATTTGTAAAGCAAATCAATTTCAGTACAAATGTGGTCTGGAAAATCTGTTGCATCCATAAATTTAACATGCTCAAAACAATCTGTTTATTGCAATCTGATCTATTCCTTGTCTGTTTCTGCTGCAGGATAAAACTGTATACAGACAGATTTTATCTGTATTTAAGTAGTTGTAAACAACTGTAAACATTCCATAACAATTTTTTGCAGTACTGTGAATTGCTTTGCAGGTGCATATGCTACAAATAGTGGAAATAGAGGAAAATGGCAGATTTTCCATATGCTCTGCCCTGCTTGATATTTTAGGAATGCCATTTACCATTTTTATCCATTCATCTCTTTGAATTCCAGTCTCTCAATCATCACCTTTTCTCTCAGGACTGCTGTGAGGCTTAATTCATTAATATCTGTAGAGTACTTTGAAATCCTTAGATGAAAGGGATTATAGAAGTGAAAAAAAATAATAGTAAAGAAAAACTGTGAACCTACAACTGCTCTCCTTCTTTTCCTTAGCTCACCTGTTCCATGGTCTTTGAAACGATACATTAGCTTAGGATAGAGACAAATTCTTTTTTATGTGATGTACAGGCAATGTGAGTTTGCAAATATTAGCATAGTTAATGTAAAAAAAAATCAGAAGTTTTAATCTTTTTTCTCAGTCTCACTGCTCCCCGAAAATATGGTCCTTGGTTAAATCCAGCTGAACCTTTTTGAACTGCATCAATGTTGAAAGGGTCATACTACTCTCCATAACCTTGTATTAGGAAATAGAAGTTCCTCTATCAGATTTGCAGACAGTAGAATAACTGGCATAACAGTCTTTTCAGAATTTGTGATTTGTTTCCTAGATGGAACTATTTTCTCTATCCTAACATCTGCATTAGTTTTTTCATTTTCTGCTTTCACAGAATCATGAGATATCTTGGCTTCTTGTTATGCGCACTGAAAGTCCTCTCCTCCTAAGATATGAATTTCCCTCTCTGCTGCAGCCATGAAATAAAATCTGCAGTAAGTTGTTTTCTTCTCAGGCATTCATGATTGTCCTCTTAAGCCATACCAGGCTTCCCCACCGTGGCACTCATTTTCCCCAAGAGGAAAGAATCAGTTTCCTGTCTTCTGAGCCAATGTTAGAAGATGGACCTTCCATAGAAGGTTTCAGTTTTCTCTCCAGTACTGCTCACACAGCTCCCATCTGGGTAAAGCTTTTTGTTATTGCAACCTTTATTAACAAGTAGGATAGAGAGCTCTGTCAGTGTAGACCCCCACACTACCACCAAACCTGTGTTCAAAGCTCAGTTAAAACATCTGTGATGGCCAGGATCCAGTCATCCAAACCAGAGCTTCTAGTCATGGTTTTTTTTAAAAATATTGCATCTCTCATCATTCTCTTGGAATTTATATGACCCTTTCCAACCACAGCCACTTTATTTCAGAGTAATTCCTTTATGCTGCTGTTGTGCCACTATCCTGCTCTTCCAGATCAGTCATGTAACGTCAGTAGAAACCTCTAGTGACCTCCTTATTACTCAGACAGGTATCTGCAAGTCAGTTATGGAGGATAGCTAGCTAGAATCTGTATTCAAATACTTAAATAAGCGTGTTTTTATTCAGATTTCCTTTTAAAGTTTCTCCTGTATTACATATGCACGACGCTGATATAATCCGGAATTTTTAGTTGACTGTAATATTACTACTAGATATTAGACTGGAGTTGTTTTAACACCACTTCTTCCTCAAAGGAAAATTAATCATTTACTAAACTAGAATGTTAACATGAATGATTGTGTTGTTATGCATATTTTATTTTTCAGCCTTCTATGTCCCTTTTGAAAATAAGCTTAGCCAACCAAACTTAACAAGCTTTTACTTGAGTGTGTGTAAATGTTAAATAAACAAAATATTTTTGTTGCTTATGCATGTAGTATTCAGCTTCATTAAACATGTTTATATGCAGCCTGTAACCTTTTACAGGCTGGATGACTAACTTGTAAGACAGATTCAGTTCAGATAAAAGAAGAGATGGAGAATGTGCTCTGGAGAAGTTGTTTGGATGTTGATCTCCTTAGACACTCTTGGGGTGCCCCGTTCAGGCAAAATAAAGGTTTCTGTCTTGGAAATCACGAGGGGTATTCCAGGTCTTCAACAGGCTTAAGCTGGCTGACTTTCCTTTCCAGGGAATAGCCATTAATAAGCATTTTGCGTGGTGAAGTCATCCATGGTTAGCGGTGTCCCTACTGCCAAGCATGAATCTTCTTGTGACAACACAGTTGCAGGCTGAGGCGTGGTGTGAAGTTTGTACATCCCACTTCCTCTGAAAGCCTGAGAAAGGGTTTGTTTCCAATTAGGCAGCAAAGCCAGGCTTCAGAGGCCCAGGAGATGGTAACAGCAGAGAGAATTTTAAGAATGTCACATGTGGTAGATGTTCAGAGAAGATCTTGGGAGCACAGAAGGACAGCTGATGTTTGCTTTTAGCCTTGCCTGCCAGAGTAAGGATTAAGCATGAGCAGATTGTGTCTTCCCACCTCTGTATTATGCTAAAGCACGTTGGCCAATACCAAGGTTTTGATGCCCTTATGCACAATAAGTACTAGCTGAGAATAATGCCATTGATATTGATGGAATTACAGCATAGCAAGATGCTACTTCCTAGGAAATTCTGCTATTCTGAAAGAACGTATGTGCTGGTTAAAGGAGCAAGCAGGTTGTGTAAGCAGTATGGGGGTCATGGCAAACTTTGAGGCAATGGCTTACAGCAATCAGTACAAACCATTGCCAATGGATTTTATTGTAATAATGATTGATGTGGACTGTCCATGGACACAAGCCATGGATAAATTTGCTACTTTGAGGAGATGCGTATTCCATGGTAGTAGAGAGACAGTGCTGGGAATGAGAGAGTTGCTCACTAGCAATATGATAGTTGATCGCAAAGGGTGTCTTCAAATACTAAATATAAGGCACTGTAAAACACATTCTAAGTTCAGAAGAACTGCTGTAGAGACACAGTTTTACAATAGATTATTTCAAATAAGCAGCTGTCCTTATCAGCACTGAGAGAGGCATCCACATAAGTACCTCTTCCCAGAGACAGGCTACCCATGTGCTAATGAGGATAGGGCAGCTATAAGTCTTCAACAACTGCTGCCCCTTTTCTTTCAAAGCTGCCATTTATATTTAACATTTGAACTTTCTCTTTAGCCTGATGGCTTTCAGACCATAGAAGAAGTTAATTGGTGAAGCAGCTTCAAAGTCACTGGATATCTGTCTTGCTCCATTCATCAAATGTGCAGTCAATTTTATTCTGCTTAAATAAATCTTTAATACTTGAACTGCCCTCCTGAAAACAAAACCAACCAAGAATGATAGTGTCTGGCTGCCAAAGAGGAAACCTATCACCTTTTAAAGGTTAATACGTCCAAGGTTGATCCTAATAATAGGAATAAATAGATTTGCAAGATACATTCTAATGCACTTGCATTACAAAATGCTATTTAAAAAATGGCAAAACAAGACATTTTTAGGAACTTGTTGCCGTAAGTCAGAACTTATATGAACATTCAATTTGACTAGCTATAGCCAAAAGCTATCAGGTCACAGAGCCTGAAAAATTCATGAAAGCGGTGCTATTTTAGTTTAACATCCCTGCTTTCTGCTCTCCAAACACCCCTACCACTGCAGCCATTGGCTTCATTGCTTTACCACACCCTGAAGCAGATTTGCAGACAGATGAACTCAAGAGTGTCCTGAAGGCTGTGAGAACACTCCAAGAAATGTTGACTTTTACAGTCTGAAGATCAAAGCTGAATTATCTCAGTTGAATTATTTAAATTCTTTAGATGATGAATTGCATGTATTTGTTCGTGTTTTGTTTTCCAGCTATGAAACTTATTTTTCACTTACTCTAAAATGGTAGTTCTTTAAGAATATGAATAACAGTCAGCATTTTTAGGCATATTTCACTGTTTTGTAACTGAATTTTCCGTGACATTTTGCAGTGTCAGAAAATAGGCAGCCTCACGTTTTCAAATGGCTATGGAGAACAGGTCATTATATGGAATTTGTGATAGAAGACAATCTTGGATTCACGGCATTTACATTTAACTCGGGGGGACCTGGTGTTCTTCCACACCAACCGGTGTGGCTTAGGAGACAGAGATCTGACAGAAACAGGCTGCTGCTCCTCCCCGGCGATTCCTTTCTGTGGGTGTACAAAAGGTCCAGGTTCCGCAGCTCAAGCGCTCCGTGGTGCTCGCAGGTGCCGTGCTGCAGTGCTCAGGTGAAAAAAGCCGTCGAGGTCAGTGTGCATTTATGGAGCCCCATGTAGCAGGAGTCCTGAAGACTGCTGGGCAGGGGCGCGTGAGAATACGGCTCAGAGACCTCAGCTCTGGACTGTAGGGTGGGGACTTTATTTCTCCCAGAACGAAGTGCGCTGGCACTGGAATTTGAGGCAAAATCGCCCGCGCATCGGGCATCCACTGCCGCCGCTCAGCGCCCTCGTCTGCGGGGGGCGGCCCCTCAGCGCCCGTTGCGGCCGCAGGGCGGCGCTGTAACGCGCCCGGGCGGGGCGCCCCGGGACGGAACCGCCTCGCGGCGGGGCGGAGCACGACGGCCGCACCCCGGCCCGCCCTGGCAGCGCCTCCGCCCGGCGCGCTGCCCCCGCCCGCCATTGGTCCTCCGGGCAGCACGTGGCCGGCGGGGGGCGGGGCCGAGGCCGGGGCGGGGGGGCGGGAGGCGGTTGTCCCGGTAACGGGAGAGTGAGTAGCGGCGGCGGCAGCGCGGAGTGGCGGAGCCGGGCGGCCTCGCCCTGCCCTGCGCTGCCCCGGGCGCGGCACTGCCCGCCCGGCCCTAGGTACCGGAGGAGAGGAGCTAAAGTTTGTCCCGGGGGGCTGCGGGAAGGGAAGGGAAGGGAAGGGAAGGGAAGGGAAGGGAAGGGAAGG